CAACAATACACTGAAAAGTCTGCCAAAACGTTTATCATCCCTGAGGCTTTACAGAGTAAATGGGCAGTGTTTTTCTTACTTCAACAGACTTTCTCTACTTCATTTCAGGAACTTTGACCTTTGAAACAAGCTAAAACTCCTTTAAATCATACTGAAATCACTGGAATACTGGAAAGGTATGTCTGCCTCTGCAACTAATTTAGTGAGCACTGATCCTTTTTCTGTTCTTTGAGAGGTTTTTTCTCATGTTACAGTGTTTTACCCCCAAGATCCCTATGTTAGTAATACATCCAAACTCATTCACCATGGTATTGATGATATACTCTTTCACTGGAGTCCTCCAACATAACCATTTAAAGCATTGTAAATCCTTGCATGTGTCATTTGTTTCTTTTGCCCACAGTTATGAGCGGCTCTACTGTTACAAATTACCTCAGCATTCAGTGATGTGCGTGTGCAGACTGGTCAATGTGTCTGAGTGTGTTTGAGCGTGAACATGTGCTCTCTTGTGTTTGCGTGCATGTGTGCACGGTGAGCTGAGAAGGACTGACAGACAGCGCAGAAGAGAGAGTGCACTTAGTCAAACTCAAGACTTTTCCATGACCTGCTCCCCATGGCATGCACTCTATCTGAGAGACTGAGTGAACAGTATAGCTTTATCAGTATAAACTCCTTGAGCATCACTTGATGGAAAAATCTAGCTTTTTCCTCACTCTTTTTTTCAGTTTGCTGCCAACTCACCTCTAAAGGAACTGGACTTCCACACAGAATTAATGAGGATTGTCTAACATGATTGAAGAAGAGTAATATGAGCATGTGGTCTTAAACATATCACCCTTCCTTTATAGATTTCCAAGTATTAAAGTCCTCTGACTAAAACTGGATTTAAATCCAAGAAAAACCCATCCCACACATGTACGGTTTCAGATAAAAGGTGACTTGGGAGGTTAGCCAAGCAAAGAGTAACTGTCCTACAATGAAAACTGAGATCAAACTAACTGATAAATGTCAACACTAGCAATAACATTAATTTATGTTACGCATGCCATTCTACTTATATAAACCCATGCAGGAGAGACAGAGGAACATTTCCCTTATGCTGTACACATTGTTTTGATTTATTTTTAAAGGAGTCTATTGATAGAACTTTAATGACGTTTTGCCATAAAAAAAAGACAATTTGTTCTTTTTTGTACTCAACATTCTTGCTCCTGATTACATAATGTCCTTTTTTTGGTCGTTCAAACATGGATGGTTAAACCTGAGTCCTCTCTTTTCTCTTTTCTTCTGTCTGAGTTTTGCACCTGTAACAACACATCCATGTTGGTGTAACTCCACTTTTGGATCCTAATGTCTGTGTGTTTATCCCAGTATGTGTCCCTGTACTGTTCCATCCCTTCTCTCTTTCCTCAGTTTTTCCACCCTGGTCTCTAGGCAATGAGAATTAGAGGGCTGGGGTCACAAGGCTGTCTATTTATATAAACAAGAGCGTATGGAAGAGCTGCCGCTTGTGGCTTCACACATTAACACACAAAACATGCCGCACAAAGCCAATGCCAGCCTTTTAGTTTCTATCAAACTTTAATAACTCGAGGATGAGTCAGAGATGCGATCCACACCACCCAGGTGTGCAGAGAATGAGTCTCAAGTTGCTTGGCTACGTCAGTCAGTTTGTGCTGAGGCTGCAAATATGGGAGTTATGTCCTGTCTTGTTTGGTGAGCAGATTGACAGAGCAGCTTCACTTTGATTTCACCTGAGGCAGTGAAGGGCGAGTTTTAGAAGTCTTAAAAGTTAGATCCATGCTTGGCAATTGTTTGTGCTCCACCCACGTCATCATGTGTCAGTGAGCGGTTGCCAAAGTCAAATGGCATCAAAATTCTTGTAAAGAACAAATACCAGAGTGAGTTGTTACAGCAGCCATCTGCTATTTCTGCTTTTTTCTTTTCCAGTCCCATGGTTTGCTGTGTGATTTGGAAAGTACATTGGTTAAATTATATTAGAGAAATCATGAAACAATGAGAGTTCAAGAGTTTAAGTCTTGCTTTGGTCTTGCTTATCTGTAATGACTGGTTGAAAAGAAAACCATTCTTTAAACTGTAATTAACAGAAACACAGTGCAGGTGTTACAGACACTTTACCTTTCCACCATCTTTGTTTTTACACCACTGACTATTTCATCTTTCCGCCATTCTGGTCATATGTCGCTCAGCTCTGGCTTTTCTCTTGTTGACAGTGCTGGATATATGTCTACGCTTGGTGAGCCGGCTCCATACAGGTTAAAAATAACTATCAGAGTTTTTGCTTCGTGTCCTGAGAGCTCTACTTTCTTCTCACACTGGAGGAACCATGGGAAAAGAATCTTTCCCTTACGCACATGGCACTCATAATAACAGACATGGTTATACATAAAACCTTCAAGCGATCCGTCTGTTTGCAAGCTTAGCACAAACACACAGACACTGTTATGTAAAAACACACAGAATAAAACTTGTGGCTTATACCGTAAAGTTGAAGTGCTAAAATAGTATGGTTATAAGAGCAGGCACAGTGTTTACAGTGAAACATAACCTGCACTGTGGGAATGTAGAGTACATTTCTACTGCTGCGTAAGTATGGGAAACTTGCTGAAACAACACAACAGGGTAAAAGTCTTGTGCAGCGAAAAATAGAAAGAACAAGAAAACAACCAAAACGGAGAAAAGGGTTTGACGTGAAGAGGAACTGGAGGGAAACTAAAGGACAAACATTATTTTTTCTTCATGACACACAAGAGGAGTAATGTTAGAGAAAATGAAAGGGTTGGTATGGATTTAAATGAAGAAAAGCCACAGAGAAACAGTGTGAATGTGGACTCTGGATGGGAGTCGAGGATAATTCAGGGGTTGGCAGGTCAGACTCTGCTGACACACTGGGATCAGCAATGGGATTGTTTCCATTGGAAAGAATTCCAAGAATGAGCCAGAAGAGCTATCAGTGACTTCACTCAGAGGACAACAGTTTTAATACATAGCCAGCCACACACGCTCTCTCACACTTTTAAAGATACTGCATCTCATGCCAGCAGTGGTGTGCGATGCACTCTCTGTTCCCCTGTGTCAGTGGTTCTCTGCGACTCTCACTGAAACCTCATCCTACCACTTGCAAAATAACTGCTGACGCCTCTGACTGCCATCAGTGTAGTTAACAAAAAAGAAAAACAAAGGACAAAACATCTTTCAATTTGAGATATGGAAGATTTAAAGGTAGTTTATAAAGTTTTTCTGTTTTCATTATAAAAAAAACTGACTATGCTGGGGGTATGTCTTTATTTTCGTCTTACCAAAGGTTACTGAAACCGACCTGTCTCCAGATGATTGAGTTGGTGAAGGTGAATGTATTTTGTAGATCAGCAAAAAAGATGTGACACCACTGTGAGCTTGAGAAAAGCTGATGGAATGGTTTTCTCATAATGAGCAAAGCCATGCCACATCTTGTCTGAGATGCTGTTATATAATTGTATTTGTTTGGCGCTGGCTTGGGAGCACAGGGAAACAACCAGTGTCATTCTGTTATTGATCTTACACGAGCCTGTCTAGCTTAGTTTCAGGAATGGAAACCAGTATACATAGGAAAAAGAAAACTGAGGAAATACTATTTCAGTTGCTTGGAAGTAATAGGATGAGGTTAGGTGTTACTTTTGAATATCTAAGCTTGTGCCTCGACCAGTTTAGATGGACAATACTTTTGTGCATCTAAGATTTGATTTCACACTTTTATTTAAAAACAAACAAGAGTATATTGAATAGAAAAATAACTTGAGATGTTGCAGAAACAATATAGCTCACAATACATAAAAATATCAAGAGGCTGCAGGGTTCTTTCATATCTTCCTAACCTCTGAGGCATATGACCATTCTTTATTAGACCTGAAGTATATTACTTTCCCCTGCAATATCTGAAAAAACATCTCGAAGTTCAGAGGTTTCGGGCTGGCGTCATATGATTGCGTAGCTGGGTGCAAGTTCAGTGTGTGTTAGGAGAGGATTGGTGCTGTGTCCTCTCGTGATTTCTTTTTCCATGATATCATTACTTTTTCCACTGAGACCAAGGAGCCATCATTAAGAAAGTCACAAAGGGCATTCGTTACTTTATTCAGAACCAGACTTCAGCTCCTTGGGCCATACAAAGTGAGCTGCTGACCAATGTTACCGGCTGTGGGATATTAATATCTTTCTCACTTTTTCCCCAGGAAGACGGAAGTAGGATAGGATTGCAGTTCATTGTTTCCCCTCCAGGAAGTGACTATAAGGCCTTGAAATTTGGCCCCATGTCAGCCCCTTGAAATTTAAAGGCCAGCAAATCCAAGACAATTCCTGGTACCAGGCAATCAAACTTGACCTCAAGAGTCCCCGATAAAGTGTTTAAATCATCAGATTTTTCCTCCTTCCTAATCTGAACACTTGCTCAGTTTAAACTTTTACAATTGTTTTGTGGTCATAGGCTTACTTTTAGTATTGCTTTAAAATGTCTTTCCCCTTCAAAAGAGTTCTCCACAGCTTTGATATTGCAGACTTTTTTTTTTTTTTTTTTTAATTCCTGTTCAGTGTTTAGGAATGAGATTTTGCTGCAACTAGGAGAGATTGTGTGCAAGATGAAGACAGGAAGTTGCATGTGGCCTGCTCTCGCTTCTATATATACACGTATTTGACGCATCTGTTCTCATAGAGGGAGAGATATGTTCTGTATGTGAAAGATGCTGCGCAGGAAGCAACAGTGCTCTCTAACCACTGCAGGTGAGGTGAGAGTTGAGTTCTAAAAGGAAAATTAAACTGTGGTAAAGTGCGTCGGAAACTACTGCAAATCCATAGGAGGATTACCCCTGTAAAAACATTACAAACAAAAACTGACTTTAGGTAAGATCCAAACTTGGCTAAGACACAAGTGTATAGCAAATTCAAATGTTTATTTACAGCTTTTTCAATATCAATGACAAAAGTGGTCTTAAAAAAAAAAAGAAAGACAAACGCAAGAGAAGGATGGCAGCTAATCTCCCTGAGCTTTACAAAAAAAACAAAAAAAACAAAACAATGTGGGACCTGCAGGTGACAGGAAGAGATGCTCAAAGCCCTAATGACGCTCAAAGAAAGGACATCTCAGCCATCTATAAGGGAACGTCACACTGTCCACAATATGTTATCCGATAAGCTTTTTCAGAACACTGACTGGGTGTAACATTAAGAAAAAAAATAAAATAAATGTATACAGGTTAACGCTCCCCCCCCCACCCAAAAAAGTGTTTAGCAAGTATCATGTCCTCAAACTATATCCCAGTGCATGAAATTTCTGCAACCAAAACATCATGGTTTTAAAAACAAAACCCCCAACAGCATTTAAAAGACAAAAACAGGAAGACTAGCAAAGAAAGTTAACTTTCAATTCAGCACACGAGGCCTCAAGGTTTGGCTCATTGGGAAACATTTACATAATCCTTCATCGGGTCTGTTCTGCACATTGCAATTTTATTACTTTTTAGTTTTTTTTTAAATAAATGCTTTTTTCCCCCTCCATCTTCTCTCAGGATTCCCCTTTAAACTGTAGCCTCGGAGTTACATCAGCCTCAATTTAATTTTTTTGCAAGACTGCTTCAAGAAAAAAAAAAAAAAGTTTGTACGATATACCCACTTCTCAGAAACAGTAACAACATTAATTTCTAAGAGACAAATCACAGCAGTGACGAAGACAGTTCTAGCAAATCAAGGAGAACAAACATTTATACTGTACAACAATTCCCACAGGTACCACTCCGATTCTGTATGCATGTCTGAAACCTCTGGGGTCATGATGCCAGCCATTTTGGAGTCAGGTGGAGAGCAGCTGCGGGCCCCCTGCAGAACAAAAGCTGTCCATGGAGCAACGAGCTGCTGCTCGCCAAGAGGGCGCCTGCGATGAGCCGAGGCATGTTGACTAGAACATGGTAGGAATTATGTGAGGGATGGAGGTGTGCATCGATTGAGCTTTTCTCCCTTTCTGTTTTGGTGGATTACAGCACAAGATGATTAATGTGCTTAGCGTAGACTGTATGTGCATGTGGGATGGTGGGTGGGGTGCAATGGGCAAAGAGTTGGCATCAAGGGACACTGAAAGGATCAGTCAAGTCTGCTGGAGTGCTCTGGTGAAGTGCCCAGTGTGTGAAAGGTAGAACCCACCACAAATGACAAGAAAAACAAAAAGGTGAATGGGTGCTGGAGCAATATCTATTGTTGGGAATTCTGCATTGGCTGTCCATTTTGGATGCTGCCATCATGCTGCTCCTCCTCCTCTTCCTCCTCACTGACCAGGAACTCCTCAGGAGGCCAGCGAAGTTCACCGCTCTCGACTTCTCCCTCTGTCGGCTCAACCACGATGGATGGTAGGCGGTCTTTGAGCTTACAGCAGCGGTCAAAGTCTGAGGGGTCTGGAAAGATCTAAAGAGAAGGGAAACATTTTAAAACCTGTTCAACTCAAGCGTTCATATCAAGTATCACAAATGCAAAAATGGTTGTTCCACCACCTCTTAAATGTTGGTAAAAAAAAAAAAATCTAGCCTTTGACTACATGTTGCCAGCACATTTAGAAGGCCAAGCAACAATGAAGGAAGTGACCAACCGTTCTAAAATCCTAAATACCCTGTCATTACTCCAGGAACAGTTTTAGTTTTTCCTCATACATGTGTGAAATTGAAAGCAAAAACACAGGTTGAAACATTGGCAGTCTTGGCAAGAAAGTGCCACATCATGCTTTAACCAAATACTTTTAAATGCACCAAGGGCTGCTTAGAAAGAAGAAAAAATACAATGTATACATATTCCATACCAGCCACGTTCCCCACGGAAATATTGCACTTTTAGGAGAGCACTTAGAGTTTTAGGGGAGGACAATTAACTTGTTGGAGCCACAAATAAATCCTGATTGAAAGTTTGGGAGCTGAACAGAATGAGAGATTCAGACAGATTACAAGCCTTCCCCATCTTGGCAAGATTCAACATCAACCTCCTTTCTCAGGAACAGGGAACATAACCCTGGGGGAAAAGAAAGGCTTGCCACTCCTGATCCAAGAACAGCATTTTCTTTCTGTTTGTTCAAAGTGGATGAATATTTTTAGACCTGCATATTTCACTTCAAGACACTGGGAAGAGGGGGAGGTGATGTCGTTGTCCAGGCAGAGAGCCCAGTGAAAAGAAAGCACTTGATGAGGCAGGAGAGAGAGAAGAGCTGCAACTGTGTCCAAGTTACAATGCATTTCCAAAATGTTGACCACATAAGATATGGCATGTTAGGAGGATTTTCCTCAGTCGATTCACTTATACGCGTGTCAGCGGATGGATGATCTAATCCCTGCTTCTCTGAAGTCACACCTTAAAGTGTAAATATGCACAGAATGCCTAATGGCTGGGTGTATCTACATTTCTGGCTTGGATCATCAATTTCAACTGTGCATCATCACCACAGGGAGTTGGGCAAGTGACTTTGCCTGTGGACATGAAAGCTTACACATAATGAGCTGTTTCGCTTCAGGAGAGACGGGTGGGGCAGCACAATGAGAAAACCAACCCCAGTCAACATCCATCTACTCGATCTCTTTAGTACAGTGGGCCACAGTCACTTTACAGTTCTTTTGTAAGACCATCTGGAACGTCATGGTCATGATTCAAGTCAAGGCCCCCGATGGAGGAAGTGACTAGTAAAGCAGCACTGCTTCTCTAAGGAAAGTACGGGACCTTGGGCAAATGGCCGAGGTGAGGAAACAAACAGTGGGGAAGTGGCACATTGGAACTCTCATCTCAGCCTCCTCTCCTTCCGTTGCTACTCCTCTCAGACAGACTCACAGCTGGGGTGTGAGCCGAATATTCAGAGGAAGCAAGCCTTTTTCCTCTGGGTCAGTCTGCATCCTTGCAGTCTATTTTCTGCATACAGGATGAGCAAGCTAATGTTGATGGACTATTAAACAATGCACTGGGAACTCAAACCAATTATGAGGCGATCAATCGCAAGAAATAGTCTTAAACCCATCCATCTTACCGCATGTAAATATAAAAAAAAAGGCTTTCATTCAACTCAGCCCCCTCCTTTCCTCACACACACACACAGGAAGGAGTGAAAGTATTCGGAAAGCTCTGCTGCTTTTGTACCCAGGTTCAAATGTGAAACTTAAAAGGAGGCAAGCAGCTGTGAATTTCAATCGTTTACAGTCCAAGTTTGCACAGTGGGGTGGAAGTAAGACGCTGGAAATGGCTCGTCAGGACCACCCGATGGCTGCTCCTGTCATTTTTGGGAATCGCACTACCTCAGCCAAGATCTGAAGTTTCTAATACCTTCCCCCCAAAAATAAAACACTGGGGTATTTCTACTTATCTTACTAATTTACATCTGGCTGTGCATTTCTAAAATGCTATTCACAATTACTGGATAAACATTCTTCAATAGTCTTGGATGAAAGAGTGCTCCATAAAAGCAGCCTCAGGATGTCTTGAACAACACGTCGCTAAAATATCAAGCCCACATAAGAATGTAGGGCCATGGATGCAAGAATGGGTGTTTGGCCATTTGTGTGCATATCCTACCTGGAAGGAGAGTCTGTCCTTGCTGGGGCTGAGCCTGATGTCCTCCATTGGGGTGCTGCTGATCATCACCTCAGTCATGTCTCGGCTGGGCACAAACACTGGGCTGCAGGAGATGAAGAACATTTAACTGGATATACGCATTTGTGATGGAAAAAAAAAAAAGACAACAATTAGAAGCAGAGATTCACTCCATGTAACCCTCAGGTCCAGAAGAAAAATGTACATCGAAGACATGTTTTATTTGTGATCAAGTGTTCAATTAAAATAAATGTTTCTACTACACTTGGAACACTGTCATTCAAGTTTAAAAAAGAAGCCCATGATGCTTGACAGTCTATACTGAAGAAAATCCATCCATTTGCTTCACTGCACATGTTGACAAGTCTCGTTTATGCTGCGTGCGCATCTTGACCACATCACACCAAACATCAGATCTGTTTTCAGCAGCGCTAATGCACTGCAACGCTGCAGAGTGCATGCTAACGCTTGCATAAAAGGTGGGCATTTCTGAACAGAATAGAATCTTTCAGCCATGAAACAGTCATTGCGAGAGCTGTGGTATATGTATACGGAGGAACCTGATGAACCAAACAGCATGAAAGCTCAGGCGCAGCTTTCATTTTAGAACCAAGTAAACTTATGTTTACCCATACTCAGACACTAGCAGGTGTCAGAATCATAGGAGAGGGGGGGAAAAAAAGAATAAAAATTAGGATTAAAAAAAATAAATAAATAAATGTCTGATTTGCATGTCCAAGTACTGAGCCTTGAGACAAGATTCTGTGCAGCATTCTCACGCTCTATTTAAAGCCTGCTGACTGGTCTTCACTGGCCAGAGGCTTGTGTGGTCACTGGCTTTTTGGGATAAAAAAAACAAAACAAAAAACAATATGACAAGATATTTGCTCTTATCCTCATACTATCCGTGTAGATAGGCTCACTCATTTTTTGGGATTTGATGTTGGGCCTTCAATAAACCAAATCAATTATACAAAATGGGGGGAACAGGCAAAAAAAAAGTATAGCAGTGAGGACAAATGTCTCACTATAGGACAGAAACACTCTACAATAGTCCACTGGCCAAAAGACATATGAAGAATGATCTTAAAAACTTACAAACATTCCTCTGTGGAAATAAACCAAATCATGTGCTGCCTTCACTTCCTCTGAGGTTATGATAAACTACTAGCCTGGAATTTATGTGCAAGGTGCATTTCTGTTATTGTTGGTTATGACTCAGAATTGAGAATGTTATTGCAGAGTTATGTAGATGTCCAAATTGAAGGGGAAAAATGGGCCATTTTAAACAACACTACAGGCTTAAGAAAAACAAAAGAAAAAAAGGGGGGGGGGGTTAGTTGCACATGCCATAAATTGAACTTTCATCCTGCTGCTGTAAAGGCCTGCTAACAAACTTGTGGCCTCGTTACCTCACGTTTTAGCATCAGCTATTTGCTTGTATGCAGTTGTGGTGCAAGTCAGATTGGTGCATCTAGAAACCTCTAACAGGTTTTAGCATATACATCTTTTTTTTTTTTTTAAGAAAAAATAGAAACCCATGTACTACAGATGCTGATTAAGGTGCCAAATGAACTCGCATTCATCCTGATGAAGATTGAAACATGCCCCACAAATAATCTAATTTCAAGAGGTCAAACCCTACAGCAAAAAAAAGCCAGTGCATCAATTTTTCCGTTCCAAATTTAAACCCATAAGGAACAACTGACAGCACAACAGAGTTGGGTGGCATCACAACGTTACAATTCTGAAGCTTTGGACAAAAATCTCAAGTTGCTTATCCTGCATCAAACACCGCATGGAACAATGGCCGGGTCTTTAAAGAAAAAAAAAATATATATATAGAGAAGGATGACAGATTTACACAAGGTTCTAACAAAGGGAAAAAGTCAACTTATTTCATAATGAGTGGGGTGACGACAGGAAGGCATGCAGGGAAGTTTAATTTGAAAAAATAAAATAAATAAAAAGACCAGGAGGATAGAAGGATGAACAGTGACAGCAAAGAAAAAAAGGGGGGCGAGAGAGAGAAAAGAAAGATAAACACTTAGGCCTTGCCAGTCATATTTCTGTTCGTGGATCGTATAAACATCCTGCTCGGCTAAGAATAACAGAACATCGGCCTAATAAAACATAAAGGGGGCACAATGAAGAGGAAGTGGGAGAGCACAAGTCAACCTGGGTGGAAACAAACAGGCAACAACCAAAGTAACAGTTAATACTGCCTCAAGTGTCAAAGATGGACCAACAACACGTCCCTTAGTGGGAGACTAGAATACCTAAAGGACACGCTTACGTTCTCTAGGCAAGCAACCTGTGACGAGACGAGCTCATCTTGGACTTCAGATACCAGGGTATGGCACACATTCAGAAGTGGAAACGTTTCAAGTGACCAGACTAATCTGTAAGCAAGACACATTAAGTTAAATGACCTTGCTGCATTACAGGCTAGGCTGGTGGGGCAGATGGCAGTAAATCTCTTTACCTCCTTACCAAGTCACAAGAGAGTTCTGCACAGCAAATGCCGCCTAAAAATAAAGGATCACAACAATAGAGAGGTGAACCAAATATCCTGTTGATTTAGGAATTGCGGTACGATGACAAAAAAATAAAAAACACTAAAGACAAAAAAAAAAACTCGCAAATGGGAGACAGCATTGACCTCACACAGAGGCATTATTAGTTTGCCAGATGCCTCTTTATCACTTTAAAACACCTACTAAAAATCATCTTTCATTGGCCATGTTAATATCTTCAAGTTACAGCAACGGGGGGTGTTTGGGTCTTGTATTGTCCCAAATCTGCTTAAACCAACACTCAAAACCCATCTTTTGGAAAGTATGCATCAAACCTGATGGCAGGATTGTTGTACCTGGCACAGCTGGTTTGTGTAAATCTCTGTACAAGTAGGGAAATGGCATCACGTGTCAACGTCGCCACAACTTTGCCAATATCCCAGACAAGCAATGTGCCTCGAGCCACACAGCTCCACAGGTATGCGAGGAATGGATAGATTGTATCCATACTCTTGTGGGTTAACTTGGTCCATGAAAGCACATTGTGGACGCTTTCCTTAAGGGAAGAAAGGGGGGAAAAAAAAAAAAAAAAAAAAAAAAAAAAAAGAAATCCACAAAATTGATCTGGGTTTGAGATTTTTATATATCGTTTAAAAAATTTTTTTTTAGATGAATCTCAGGTGTCCCACTGTATGAGACTCAATTCCCATCATGATAAGGCCTGTAGAAATATTAGAAGGCGCTTCACCTTATAGGAGAAAACATATTCGTAACAAACAAAGACAAAAACAAACCCGACGTAAGCTGACAAGCAAGGCAACCGAGTTCAGTTACAGTAAAGACGTTTCTGAGTTTCCTGGTAGAGACAGGCAGAAGACTAAAAGTATGAGTGGTGTTGCAAAACAATATTTCAAAAGCAACTTGCAGATCCTCTCTACCCAGACAAAAGACACAACTGAGCAGAAAAGCCCCAAAGATCAACTCTGCATTTCCATTTTAAGAGGCACAAGACCAGAAGGGGCCAAAAATAAGCAGTCACAATAGAATCATTTTGCCTGCATTGTGCCACCTGCTTATAATCCATGTTCCAGGACTTTCTTTTAAAGAAAAAAAACAAAAAAACATGTAAAACTGGGCCCTGCCTTTGCAATGTCCCCTTAATTAACCCTTGAACTGAACATCTGACAATTAATATGTACTGTCAAAGCAATGTGACCCCCTTTAAACTGGCATATGCAGCAGCCTTTTTAAGGTGGATGCAGGCGAGCAACATCTGCGTGCTCGTGTGGAGACCTTGAATGTTCTTGTTTCCAATCCGGGTGCCCCAAAATTTTCCAGTTTCAGGGGCAACACCCCACAGAATATCTCAAAGGAAACAAGAGTGGGTGTAGCAACAAAGGTGGCTGATTCAGAGGGAAATCACCAAGGAAACTAAACCACAAGAATATCTTTCATTCTTCTTTCCTGTAAACTACAAAGCCAAGACATGCAGCTTTTGATAGTAAAGTTATACCATTGTTACACAGAAAAGGCCTAAAATTGGTCAAAAACCTGCATGCAAACACAACCAAACTGAGACAATAATAACAGATGGGAACACTCACCAGTATATCTGCGGTGAAAATACAGACATGAATTCACACCTGCTGTCACTTCTGCTGAGGGATCTGATGATTACCACTCACTTCTCTCTACTTGTCCCTGCCTTTTCTTTTCTTTTTCTCTGGCCCCCCGTCACAAACGCAGAACAGCACGCTTCACGCAAACTGAAAGTGACTGAACACCGGATCTGGGTGAACGCAACAAAGACAGTGCTCCTTAAATTAGCGCGTCTGATCACAGACCCAGCTGTGCTGCGCATTTATTCAAGAGGCGTGCACCCGCGCAGCCAGAGACACACCTCCCGTCTGCACAAGCCCCAAAACCTCAATGGCAGCTCATTAACAGCAGGAGCCAATCGGAGTGCAGATGACTCAGCCCCCCCCCCGCCCTCATCTCTGATGACGACAACAGCGACAGAATCTGTTTATTGGGAATGGACAAAAAGATACCGCAAGATGCAGTTGATTTGTAGTCTCCAAGGCAACAAAATCACAGTCCACCCCCTTGTTCAATGGCAAAAACACTGATTTGCCCGGTAGGTAATCGGTGACATTTATCCAAATGAGCAGGAGACAGAGGCAGAGCTTCTCTGCCCAGACTCATTCACAAATTTATTCCATGGATAAGTCAGCGCCTGCAAAAACAATGAATGGTCCAGAAGCACGGTGTAGCCTCTGAAGCATTGCAAACAATGCGTGCTCAAAGCAGGCAAGACAGCACGTGGGTCCAACACAGATTTCTTTCCCATTTTTTAAATCTCTCTCTATATAATGTACATACTTTACGAATGCCATTAAAGGATTAAAATGTGATTTTCGAAGACCTTGTTCGTATCATGGCCTCTGGAGCATAGCTGACCTTCACACAGAGATGCACAGTTGTCTTGGGTGCTGCATTTGTGAAAGCAGGTGCACAGTGAAGTCTGCAGACACTGGGGCAGATGGTGTAATGCAGGCAGGCCTCCACTGCCACCTTGTGACGGAGAATTAGTGCTCAGTTTTGGGTGAGTGTATGTGATTTGGACTGTGTGTGTGGTGTCGTCCTCCTGATTTCTTGGAGCTGTAGCCATACTGTATATCACCACATCTCCATTTGATACATCCAAGACACTTGTTGTTATATGTGGCATCACCTTATACATTACATGTCTAAGAAATGATGTGTTGTTGTGCCTAAATATGGAGATGAGAGCAACTAAAAGGGAGCTGTTGCAGACCTTAACCAGCGGATGCACCATGCTGAAATGCTAAATCAACTTTGAACAAAGCAAAGGTTCTGAACAATTCCCGATCAGCTAAAATGAGTTGAAAGTAGAAAGAAAATTGGAAGGTTCTTAAAGAAAAAAAAACACAAAGGTCGACTATAAGGAAGAAGTCAAAGCCTCAGTACATATATCAAAATGGCTCAAATAGAAAGAGGACAAAAACAAACAAATTAATAAGAAGAAAACGTGTGTCCTTTAAAGCTGAATGGAAGCTTAATCATAAACTTCTAAACCCGTCCAGGATGCAAACAGCATTGTTCTCACTGATATTTTTGCTAATTTAGTTTTTCTATTCAACATGTAAAGACTTCTCCGTACCACACAGATGATGCACTGGGGAGTAAATCATCAAGACTTGACTTGGTTTCAGAGATGCATTTTGAAAGATGTGTGGCTGTGACTCAGTGCCACTGCAGCGTGTTAGCAGCAGCAGCAGCAGGCTTTGGTGGGATTTAGTCAGCTGACATCATCACACCATGTCACAGTGATGTCACAAGCAGCTGATGCCCTTGTAAAAGGACTCATGTGCCAGTGTGTAGATACCCCCTCCCCGTTACCAGAGAGGGATAAACAACATAACAGATTTTTTAAAAATCTTCATTGACACAGTGTGACCACAGGATGTCAGCAGTGTCTAAGGAGCTGTCTGGAGGTGCAGCTCCAGGGTTGATGTGAAGCTCACAATGACACGATGGATGTTGCCATGAAGTGCTTTTGAAACAAAATATACTCTTTGTATTAAAATTAAGAATAGTTTATAGACTACCTGGTTTTTTCTATAATTCATTGTAATAAAAATGTTTTAATACACATTTTAGACATTTCAGCATAGAAGTTGTGTTTTTGATTCATTCACTTGTAATCTTGCCACACCATTTGCCATGCCACGGCAATCATTTCACATCATTTTTCTTGCAGGACTCCGTCCTTCAAACTTGCTGAAAATGGTGACCTCATCTGTTCAGTTTGTAGACGTGCAGACCAGCTGCTTTTTCTTTTTGGAATGGCTGCACCACACAAACAGCTGCACATCTGGACAGGGTGGAACGCCTCAGTGGAGCAGAGGGGAGGCTGAGGAACGACTGCAGAATGTGTAAATGAATGAGGCCCTGAAGGGGACAGCAGTCGACAAGCACCCGCTGTCCTCTTGGCTGCTTTTCAAAGTGGGCTTTAGTTTCTTCTTGGACTGCGATCTTACCGTGCAGCGCTGTATTCATCATGATGTTTGTTTTCCTCTTCATTTTCATCAGGGTTCATTGCTTTTGCTGCTGTTTAACATGACTTTGAACATGAACTTATGTTGGATAAGAATCATATGTAAACAAAATTAGCTCTAATAATATATTTCATTCTTAAAGAATCTTCAGCTCTGGGAAATACATTATTCTCTCTCCATACATCAGTTTGATTGTTTCCATCGTTTTTTAAATGTTTTTTTTTTTCTTGTATGTGTTTATGTTCATCAGAGTAAGCATATGCAGGCCCACGTTTTCACCCTGTGTGGAGATTTGGGTGAGGAAAGTGGTCTCATACACACAAGTGAATGTTTGTGCATGTGCGTTGCTGAGGGATATCTGATCACTGGGCTCACTGCACGCCACGCTTGCTTGCAGGTGGTCTGTCCACGCTTTGGGGCTGAGCAGATTTAATATTTCATGTAAGCACAGCACACCACTGGACGCCATCATTGAGTCCACATGGCCGGCCAGAAAGCTGCTCTGTGAACACTGAAATATGTGGCCCCTCTCCACCATGCTGCTTGCTCACTTGCTGGGCCTCACAATTAAAAGCTAACCACAGCCACAGATGTTGGCAGCTGTCTTTAACCCATGAAATGCTACTCTGTTAGTAAAATGCTATGTAATCCGCTAAAAGTGGCTGATAAAGGTTGAGGCAGTTTCCAGAACTTAGCATGATGGCTCAGCCTGCATTGGCTCACCAACAGAAGAGGTCGTGATTTGAGAAACGGGCAGCCACAGAAATGAGACGTCAAGAAATAAGTGGATAGAGAAGAGAAAACAGCATGAGTTTTCCAAAGCATTTTATTTTGAGAGGTTCCAGACTGAGTATGCGAGCTAAACCCTCAGCTCAGTTTTAGTGCCCCAATTGCCTCTATGCACCATATAAACAGGAAACCAAAAGTGTTTATGACCACCTTGCAAAATCCTATGTTAGGAAATCAAGTTCACGTCAGAATTTCCTTCACCATTCATCAGATTCCGATGAAGCCAAACCATGTTCTGTATTTGCTGTCATGTATAGTGTGGGGTTGGCCTTTAGCCAAAGAGAACAGAAGGAACTTCAGCAGCACCATTATTCAGCAAGGTCAAAACTGATTTAGATGTGAAACCAAAGCCAAAACAGGGCATCTTGAAACTGTTAGGAAACTATTCCAGATCTTAAACAGACCAGGGGGACTGTGTACATCTCCCTAATTGCACATGTCAATTTATGTACAAGCACTAGGTTTATAGTCAAGCTCCATTACACCCCTCCCCTGCCCAAACACCCACCTCCTTATTTCTCTTTTCTGTCCTACACAGACTCAACCTTTTGGACATGAAAATTACAAGACATGATTGGAAATGGGTAGTCTTAGATTTTGCAAACAGCACACTTCCACGGAGGTGCAGGAAAACACACGCTGGGAACGTTAGGTGAAGCAACAGCAAGTCGCTGAGACAAACCATGTCAGTGCACAGCTTGACAACTTATTAATGTTGTGTGACTTCTCTGGGAACAAAGAATGCATTGCAGAAACTCAAGATTGCATATAATTAATCCAACCCCAGCAATAACTCTCTGAAATATTTACTGTGTTGAGCTATCAGTAGTGAGGGAGACAAATGAAGACCTCACACATCCATGGGAGACTGCTGCTTCCAAAGACTCCGTTGAGCAGAGCAGGTGAAAAAGAGTTGTTACTCAATCCTCGAATTTCAAGGAATATATAATGTTTTAATGCGCTGACCATAACCCTTTGGGAACCTGACTACCATAATACTGTCATCACCTGGTTGGAGAGTTGGGGCTGGATGGTGTGACACAACCGTCCAGCGTCCATGGGAGAGTGACCAAGGCAAACACGAAGACTATGAAGACTTCTGACCACGGCATTCATTCCTCAGTATTTCCTGTACTACAATAACCTACTTTGTCTACTCCCACGATTACTTTCAACACTATTTACATATAAAAAGAGGGATGCCATTTCCCCCCAGTGTTTGGAATTCTGCCTACGGTCCATTTGAATGGAAGTTAGCTGGGGGCTTTGAGGTGAAAGCAATGTTGAGCAATATTAGTATTTGAATTTAGGACCAAATCACTTTGGGACAAGGCTTTGGCAAAAAAGTAAGAAACTTAGGGGGGGGAAAGAGTTGTACAACATTAGTAATTGATTTCTCTGCATCTGCTGCATACTTAAAGAAATGAGTGTCAAACATAACAGCTTGTGATTTCCGCAGGCAACAGCAGGTTTTATTGTTGCAACAGTACCTTCCGAGATGCTGCTGTGTTGTAGTGTTTGTTTTGTGGAGCTAAATGAGCAGTAATTAATCCTGGTGAATGTGCAAGATGTATTTCAAACATCCCAGTGAGTTATAACGACTTCAAACACTAGAGGGTAGCCTATTCAAACAGGATTACTTCTTTCCCTCCTACACTGATAAAATTACCCTTCCCTGACAAATATTTCAATAGTGGGGAGCTAGGGCCATTAAAATACCTCTAAAAGGTCACAGAAATCCAACTTCAAGGTTTGTTGTCTCACAGTTCTGAGCTGAACTGAGAGGCGGTCAGGATGTCTTATGGTCTTTAAAAAGAGGAGAGGAGGGGGGTCGAGCCATTCTCCAGGTTTTGTAGGAGAGATGGCCTACCATGTTTGCTCATGCCATGGAACACTGTGTTTTTGGTAGAACAGCAGGGGCAGCAGAGGGTGGGGGGGCGAGTGGAAGGAGGAGAGAAGGAGTCTGGTGGCCACATGTCGCCGTTGCTGCTTAGTGCTTGGATATTGTAAGCTTTTGTGTTAAACACCGACGCA